CAAATTGGCGCATAATGGCGCCAAATGATGCCAGCGGCTGAAACGGAATGTTATATTCGCGATCAGCGTGTTGAATTACATCTCTAGGCAACGTTTCAGCGAAAAAATTTTTTTGAGTTTCTGGGGCAGGAATAGTTCTGGTGCCCAGAAGGTGATCTCTATGGAATGGTTCGCAGTGGCTCCATCAGTTCAGAATCATTACGTCACGACATTATCACGGAGAAGTGTTATGCAAAATAGCTTTGAAGTGCACAGGGACCACTTTCGAAAAAATGCAAAAGAGCACGCGCATCAAGGATTCAAACCCTCGACCGCGCATCCGTGGGCCCTACGACGTACCCACTCGGCCATGCTGCCACGATCTTGTCAGCCTTACGCCGCCAATACGTAGTGTATCTCCCACTAAAAAGCTCCGTAACTTCTTTCTGGGAGGTCCGCAGCAGATATGGAAGACGGTTTCGTAATTCCTGTCCGAAGACCTTTCAGCCGGTGTACATTTCATTTCAAATGGCCACTTCGACCTACCATCCTTCCCTTGTCAGAGGAATGCCGTGTGCCTTCCAGCCACGTTGTGGCTTACAAGGGAGGTCGTTCAGGCCGTGGTGAGCTTTTTCAAAACGATTTGTTGCATGTTGTAGGGGTCCATACAAGGACCACACAGATGGGTTTCATTTTTGCTAAACGCTATTGGGAATGTCAAAAAAGGAATAAAAACAAATCGCTTAAAATACGCAAGTTTTATCATCTCATTCGCATCTGTTTCAGCTGTAAAGCAGAATACATAGAGTTTATAAAGTGTTTCTCAACTAGACATGAAAAAGAACATTGAATAAGGTCGAAATACAAGTGCCTTACTTGGCATTCAGTGAGGTACACTGCAATTTCTTTAGGGGCTTATGCAGCATCCCTTCGCGCTCGCAGTGGCCTTTTAGCGCCACGCTGGCCCCAGATCACGTCGGCGCCATAAATAATTGTCAGAATCGTGATCAGGGCCATTGATTACCCCTGTTTAAGAGGTTTCAGCGAAAAAATTTTTTCGAGTTTCTTTAGTGGTCATGGACCTGACCATTTGGATGGCAGTGACAGGAACCCTCCGTTAAGTATCCTCTCTGGCAGACAAACGGGGCCGGGCCAGAGCCGAACTTTTCATTTCTTGCCCAGTAGGTCTTCATAGAACATCGTACTAGGGAGCCACTAAACGAGCACCCTGGATCTTTCTTCACTTTTACCGTCTATGCTTTCGACAAAGGACTCGTTACCACTCGCCCGGAGAAAGGCAGCTTCGGAGGTTTCTGTTTCTCATATCAAAGGTATAAGAGGAGTGCAGTGTATGTGCGTCATTTTTTGTGTAGTTTTTAATTCTGCGTCTGCATACTAGCAAATGAAAAGCTTCCTCTTAACGATGTTGGATAACGACTCCTTTGGGGGGGGGGGGGGGGCTGATAGCCACTAGCTGGAGACATGGCCGGCAACATAACACAAAAAGCTCGGGAAAATTTTTCTCGGCGTAACTCTATACGTAGGGGTAATTGATGGTCCTGATCACGGTTCAGATACTTATTTTTGCTGCGGAGGCCATCTGGGCCAGTATGGCGCTAAATAGCCCCGCCGCGCAGACTGACAATGATGGTAGTACGAGAAAGCCTTTGCACCAAATTAGCGACACATTGCGCCATATTCAAAAATGAGTGTCGTGTTCATGAACAGAGCATCGGATAACCGCCGTAACCCAAGTTTCATGAAGAGTTTTTTTCGATAGTATTTCGCGAGCGTAATAATTGAGTGAGGCCTATTTGTGAACCGTTCCCGCATGGAATGTGCCTTCAAATGGCGTATATCCGGGTCATACACATTATGGGGCATACAGGAATACAAGAAGCAAGAAATGTGAAAAATGCAAAAAGTGTGTCGGCAAGGGGATCCGATCCATAAACCCACCGACCGAGAGCCCATCTCCACTATCCACCACACCATCTGCCACTGCGACACTCGAGATACAGGACCTGTTGAAGAGATAGTGCAGATGACCGGAAAACTCCAATGCAGCTCACCGCATGCCAAGTAGACCATTTGGATTTTGACCTTATTTTGCGCTGTTTTTCATGCCTGCTCAAAGGATACCCTACATACTATACCCTGTCAACGCTACAGCTAGAACAGAGGCGAATAAGGTGGTTTAAAAAGCCCATTTTTCGAACTGTTTTTGACCTTTTTTGACATTCCCAGAACCGTTTAGCAAAAATGAACCCCATCGCTATGGTCCTCGCATGGACCCCTACAACATGCAACAAACCGTTTTGAAAAAGCTCACCACGGCCTGAACGACCTCCCTTGTTAGTGAAGGCTCGTATAGCGAAGTGTGTCGGAAATGGTGACTTCAATCATCGTTTTGGATCCAAGAACAGCGACTACGACGGACGGTAAAGAAGCAGTGGGATGCTTCCTTACACACTTCCACAGACCTGATAACTGGATCTCGAAATGGCTACGGAAAGATCTGATACGAGATTCTAAAAGTGGTCACGAGTTCTTGATAAGATTCTAAAAGTGGTCACGAGTTCTTGATACAACCCAATATCATTTTACCTTCTGAGTAAAAGTTAAATGGAATTTTTTTTGCCGGCATCAAATTTTTTGAGACCAATCTCGAGCGTTCCTGCCGCACAGCGTAGCGTAGAAAAAACAGCTTAGTGGCTTTCTGCTCCAATCCTGTTGCTATTTGCTCATGTAACAAGGCTGCTGAAAATGCGCGAATCCATTACTTTCTCTTGCAACAAACAAAGAAATTTCGCAGACATTTGGTGGTAAGTAAAGAAATAATCATCAGTGCTGTAGTTCACTTCTCGCACCTCACGATACTTCCTTCTATATCCAAGTTTGCCTATTTCAATTTCATATGTAATTCATCGAAAACATAACTCTGACAAGGGGTGGTCGTTAAGAGCGTGTGCGCTTCCTGAAAACGGTTTTTTGCATACTGTAGAGGTCACACAATTACCTAGAAAGTGAGCTCGATCTTCGCTGCTCATTTTCAGGGAGACAAAAAAAGGAGTTAACGAGAAAGCGATTGCGAAACTGATAGTTTTTGAGCCTCTGAAATCTGCAACTTCGACTAGTTGCTGACTGGAAGATCGTTTATAAAAGATATCGAAATCGACGCTCGCAAAGGTGGCCTTACTTGTGTCACCTGCTCAAGCTGCTTCGATTATACTGCCGACCAAATGGTTGGTCCATTATAACGCGAGAAAGTCAAACATTTTTGGTTACTTCTAGGGAAAGTCGCTTGTCTTCCAACAATTTCTGACACTTATTTTTTAGCGCCAGTTCATTATGGCATGGCGCCGAACAGCTTGGGTCTGTGAATATTAACAAATTCGAAAAAAGAAAGCAGTTTTGTTCCATGAACAATGGAATGTAGGATTTTTCGTGCATTCTTTCTTGCGGCAAAGGATTCAGACAAGCAGATCCGAAAAATAAAAAAAAAACTTACAGGAAAGCGAAATTGTGGTCTCGTGGAGATCCGAAACATCAAACCATTTTTTACGCTTTTTTAGAGCGCCTCAAAGAAAATGCACCTAAGTTTTCTGATTCTCGTATGTGCCCCTACAATATGCGGAAAACTGCTTTCAAAAAGCGCACCATGTACTGAACAACCTCCCTTGTCAGTGGCCTTCGGAATTGAGGCGGAGGTGGGGTAGTAATAAGTGCCTCCATGTACCATGTCCAGGAGTCCAGTCCCGGGTAGAATCCCTCTCAGGCCAAACAAACTTACACTTCGTAGACGGTGAAATGGAATCAGTTCCGTCCGTTGGGAGGATAAAAGCAGTAGCTTTTTCATCGGCCAACCTCTCAAGCCATTACTTAGACAACATGGCACTCAGTGAGCCTCTGCATTTCTGATTGGGACTAGAACGGCGCATAATAGAGGTTCAATCAAAGGCGAAAGCTTTTCTAGCTTTTTTTCTTGAAAATTGCATGAAATTTTTCCTACAAGTTTCATCTGTTTTGCTTTGAAGTTCCTGCATATTTCAATGTATGTCTACCACCCGCCAGGTAATCTGTCTCTGGGTTCGTGGGATCAATTTGATAACGGTGAACCACTTAAACATTCTACAAGTCCCGGCAAAAAGGTTAGTCATCTCAGCTCTTGTGTTATTTTATTCTGCCTCTATTTGTCATTGTTTTCCCTAGGATACCCATCTTGCTGAGTTCTCCGATGTTCCGCCGTTGCTGGTCGATAGTCGTCCAACGGCAGTGAAGCAAAGTACAGTCCCGAAAGTTTTATATTCTCCAAACAGGGAATCATTCCCTCGTGTTTATAGCTGTTCCGCTGTTGGCGCTGAAATCTCCGTGTGGCCCACCCCCACAGCCTCCTCCCCGTCCTCAACAAAGAGGGCATACCCGAAGTGCAAGTTTGGACATGGTGAAAAACATTCAACTCGCACAGATTTGGGTGAGTAGACATTTATTGAGCTTTCATCGCAATGATCTAAAAACCGTAATTCATTTTTAAGAATGACTCTGTCCTCCGCAGATCGGCGGCCTTCTGACTCAACAACTGTAGCTACAGATTACTCGACTGGTTTATCCATCTCCGGTGAGCATTCTTTGATTCTGGTCAAAGGGTTGTCAGTGTGTGCATTTTGAGCTTCGATTCCCACGGCGCCTCCTCCACCAGTTCCGCAACGAGTTTCTCCTCCTGCACCTATTCCTCGAAAAAGCAGTACTGCGGAAGCTCAAACAGAAGGGCGCTACGTGGACGAGAAGGATGTAGAGCAGTTTATTGCTCAGTTCGGTGCGTATATAACATCTTCCCCCGACTCTAGGCTTTAGCTTTGAAAATTGTTCCTCCTTAATCGTGGTAACGTCGTCAATTAGATACACAAATAGCTGACCTCCTTGGAGAGGAAGAAGATGCAACACTTGGGAAAGGAGTGGAGCGTTGGGCTCGAAGATGTGAAGGTGGGTGTGTTCAATTCTCTCACCTATTCTTCTTATCTCACAGAGAGCTCCTGTAGAATTCTTCACTATAAATGAGGATGCGATACGTTTCGCTTTGGCCTCATTTTTACGCCATATATGGATTGGGCAGATAAATTAATAAATTTTGAAGAAGGGTCACTTGGGTCTGTGCTAAAAGTCCCTATCACCTTTCTTTACTCATAGCGTCAATGGTTCTCGGGAGCCGATTTCATGCTGTAGTCAGTCCTTGCTGTCTGTTCGTCATCCACTTATTACTTTCACCTGCCTTAACACGTTGGCGACATTGCGTCCCACTGCTGGGATGCGGCATGGGTAAAAAACCAATTTAAAAACGTTTCAAATTTTCAACAGCTACATATTGTACAGGAAGGCATTGTAGAATATACAGTAGCTGCAAAACTAAGCAGTTGTGTCATTGGGAGTATTTTACGGAGGATACAAAGGAAAGTGATTTCCTTAGGAAAAAAGGTAATTTTTGGATAAATAGAACTGAAGCTCCACATGCAGATAGCTAACGTGATAAGGTAACTTTCTACAATAGCAGATCTGGATCGAATCCAATTTACTGCCTCTGGCGCCAAAAAATTCCTTTTTTGCGACCTCTTTCCCACGCTCCGCGTGTATGGGGCGGGAGTATTCCACGAAAATTAAGGGTTTAAATTGAAAGTAAAAAAACAGCAAAAATTTACTAGCTTCTGCATTGAATACTAGTCCTTCTGCAAGTGTTTTGGTGTGTAAACGCCCTAGCATTCATGCGCATTCCTCAAAAATAGGGAAAAATTGCTTCGTCCCACGCGGCAGACACGCGAAAAGGCGCCTTGTCGCCAATGTGTTAAACTTTATCCAGTGGAACCAATGAAAATCATTCTTTGGTTCAGGTCTTCGTGCACAGAATGCTGAGCTTGAAGCTGAAAGGGCTCGAATGGCTCAGGTGGGGTTTTTAAAGTGAAGCCTTCGCAACGATTTCCTTTGATGCCATGCTGTTCAGGTTAGAATCCAACTAGAATTACGCCTTCAAGAAATGGGAGAGGGGAGCTGTAAGGGGCACAAACCCACATCACTCTGATCATCGCTATTCACAATGCTATCCATTATGTGGGTTCTATGACCAATTCTTAGACCGCTTTCAGACTTCACGATCGCGCGATTGGATCACGATCAAATCGCCGGACTATAACCTGAGGTCTCCACCGTTTCGGTGCACTGCCGCAACGGCCAAATTCGAAGTCTGAACCCGGTCATAGAAAAACTATTGCTGAGAAGGACCTGACTTCCTTTAATTTCATTTGAGTGTTCATTACTTGGAACTACTGGACATACATATAGGCCACAGTCCGAGTTTTATTGCTTAGTTACCCAAGCCTATTATACCCGATGACGGGATTCGAGGCTTGCTTCATTATCCCCACCGAAGATTTTATTCTCCTTTATCTCTATTCCTTTAGGCTGTAATTCATCGTGCAATTCATTTTCATGTCGCTGTGATAAGCTATTGCTGATTCTAGTTTCTTATTGCCTTACAATGCGGACTTACTGTGTCACAAATAAATAACCATGATCTTCATTTCATTTCTATCACATTGTTGGAAAGTGGAGATGAGCAGTTTGTAAGGCTCTTGCCGTCTTTGCGAAAAATTTCCTGTGATGTGTCTACTGATTTACTGCGTCTTTGTGCCTTTTCAGCTCCGAAGGCACGCCCCATGATCAAAATTGGTGGGTGAGTGTATCCCCACACTAATGACAAAGTGGTTATGAGAAGAAAAGAGAAAGAGGAGAGCAAAACTCCCGAAGTATGTCAGATAGTTCTCCGTGCTGAAGCGAGTTAGTGCGAGCATACAACGGAAAAAGGGCGGTTTCGGAGTTTTCACATTTTCTTCCTTTTCACCACTTTCTCACCACTGGGAACGGAAAGAACGAGCCATAGAACAGCCGTACCATCACATTACATCACATCACTGTTAAAAATGAGCTTTCACTGTGGTATTGGGCAAGGGACGGAGCTTTGTCTTCGTCATGAGCGAGTTGAGTCTTCATCACGTATTTTTGAGCCGCGAAAGAAAGTCCTGTCGCAGTAAAGTCAGTGAATACCAGAGGAAAGAGGAATTCAGCCTTTGATAACTCAGAGCTAAGACAAGGGTGATTCCTTGAGAATCGTGATAGGTGCCAGATAATTCGAAATCGATTACCAATTGCATCGAGTTCAAAACTGGATCTCGCGAGTATCGGACAGACCAACCACAATCTCCCTTCATCTTGATTCAGTTGGTTGTCACCAAGTTCGTTGTTTCATGGCTCTGAAGCTGAAGCCAATCCATCCCTTCCAATAAAAGGTCTTTCCTGTTACTCAAGTCTCGAACAATCCAGATTCTCTGCCAAACCCAGCGAGCCCAGCATCACCCATAACTACGCATTTGATGTCTCGCTTACGGTACTTCGTTACAGTCGTTTATGGAGAAGACGAAGGCTACTTATCGAAAACCAAAAGGGGCATTACACAACGTCGCGGGTGGCTCGCCATTGAGAAAAAAAACCTCTAGAACT